ATGTCAATTAAGAACTTATTTTTAATAGTTTATATATACTGTATATTTATGCTAACACCTTTGGGACCAATTCTCTGTTAACTAGTTGCTTATTAGCATGCATATTACTAGCATATTGACTGTCTATTAGTTTATTAGCACATATCAATGACTTATTTTGCATTATCATGTTTTAGATCCTTTGATCTTAAACCTAAACTTAACAACTACCCTACTAACTATTAATAAGCAGCAAATTCGGATTTTATTGAGGCAAAAGTCATAGTTAATCATTTGTTAATAGTGAGAATTGGTCCCAAAACTAAAGTGTGACCATATATATATATATATATATATATATATTTTAGTGATCTCCTTGAGATTGATGTCTCTTTTGTTTTTTAGGTTATAATATGACCACACAAAATAAAAAACTTTATTGAAGACAAAGCTGAGAAATGAAACCCAACGTCGTGCTGAGCGAGAGAAGATGGTTGCTCACCTCCGATTTTCCGGAAACCCATTTCCAATCTACTAATCCTGCTCTCGCACAGTATGAGTCATCTACCACACGGAGCAGCGCGGCTCCAACTGCATTCTCTACGGGGCAAGAAGGGCAGGAGACTGCATTTCATTTTGAGTTTCTTCCTGAAAAACTGCTGATGTATATTTGCACCTCTTTACCTCTGCTTTCACCTTCCCAGACTTATGATTCATGCTTCCTGTGATTCCAGGCCTGGTTTTTGCATGCCAAAAAAGGTACAACGTTAATTATGTTTATGTCAATAGCACAAACAGTCACATTTAGAAATAATCATTAAAGTGTGAAAGTAATTAAACTCTAATTTGAGAGCATTTGCGCTTGTCGTCAGATGTTCTGCGTTAGATCTTCTCCTCTCTGTAATGTGGTGGACAGGACCATTCATAAGACAGCACCTCTCTAAGCTTGGAAACAGTTAATTGATTACCCATGCCAGCTACCCCCTCTGAGCCCTCTCTGTAAAGATAAGTGTCGTCCCTGAAATCGAACCCTCTGCCTGCCACGCTTCCGTCTGATTAGCTGCCGGAACAATTATCTTAATCGTGTCATCTTAACGAACCCCCATGATAAGCCGCCTTGGGGCCAGTAATCCAGAAGACCTTCGCCTACACGGAATACTGTCCCTTATCGCCCTTCTTAATAAAGATGAATTAAGTTGAGGAAAAGACATAAAGTTCCCATCGCTGGTGTTTACACGTGTTTGTTAGTGGCAGTTGTTGGTTTATCTAATCAAGATGTTAGGAGTCAAATCATCATCATAGCCAAGCAGCATTTAATGTGTGGAAAAACAATGTTAGGAAAACAAGTTGAGTAATGTTGAGTGAATAGCTTGCTGGCAATATGCAAAAACAAACTATAATTTACATTGTCTCAGTATCAAATGTGTTTCTTGTCCATGCAAATCTAGCCACCATGATGGCTGCATTTATTTGATAAAAAATACAGTAAAACAGTATTACTGTAAAATCTAATCACAATTTAAAATACCTGTTTTGTATTTTAATATATTATATTATATATATTTAATATATATATATAATATGAATTTACTCCTGTGGTGGCAGAGCTTAATTGTCAGTGGCCATTACTCCAGTATTTGGTGTTACAGGAACTAAAGGAAACATGTATTATTATTGTTATTAATATTATTATAGATTTATTATATAAGTAGAATTTATTTGAAGTAATGTATTTTTAATAGTTCTTATTAATTTTTATTAATAGTTTGAATTAATTTTGTATATTTAGTGTTTTTTAATTCAGTTAAATTTATTTAGTAATTTAGCTGTGTTTTTGCCATTTTATTAGGCTTTTTAAATGGGTCATATGATGTGATTTAAATTTTTCTTTCTCTTTGAAGTGTTACAAGCTCTTGGTGCATAAAGAAGATCTGTAAAGTTGCAAAGACTAAAGTCTCAAATCCAAAGAGATATTCTTTATAAGAGTTAAGAGTCAGCCACGCCTACCTAAAACGGCTCATTCTAACACGCCCCCACATATCTACGTCACTATGTGGGAAGATTTGCATAATGCCGCCCAAATTTTTATTCTCGCTGTAGTATTGTTGTTGCCGCCGCCATGTCGTGAAGGCGTGTGTTTTGTTGTCCAGCAGAGTCCAGCCCAGGGTTGTCACATGTGGTTGCCGCATGCCCTCCGGACGCTCCTTCGTCGAATCCGCCGGCCGCACCGTTCTCAAGCCCGTCGCCTCTGCTCACTCTAGCCCTCCGGCCGTTCCTCACTCTAGCCCCCGGCCTCTGCTCACTCTAGGCCGCCGCCATTCACTCTAGGCCACCGTGTGTGACACTGTGTTTCATTGTTTCGTTGTGAAAGCGAAACTACTTTGTTTGGCCTACAGATAAGTATCAGAAAGCAATTGTTTTTTGACACGTAAGCTCAATTTCAGAGTTTGCAATATGAATGAAAGGGCCTCTATATCTGGTATTAGTGTGAATTGTATTCTATGGAGAGCAACTGTTAGAAGAGAACCTTGCTAAATAAATTAATCTTCTATTAGCTGTTAGAGTCTCGTAGTTAGCACATCTGTTTTAATGGCAAGGTACTGGAACTGTATCACCTCCATTGAGAAGTGACATTTGTTACCACCACATATAGTTTATTTCTGAAATTACTATTAGGGGTTTGCTTAACCTTACACAACAAACAAATATTTACCCATAGTAATGCAATGGAAATGAGCTCATTAATATTGTAATATCTGAAGTGAATGTGGTTTACTGATCTAATAGTATCTTCAGGTCTGAAGGAGGTGAAAGCATAACAGTGGGGTGGAGGCGGCCTGCGTGGTGGGATTCAAAGCAGATGCCCTTTCCCCTGGAAGGCCCCTCCTCTTGTAGCCACACAGATCACAGGAGTTCCCTCTCAGGCCCCGTCAGACCCCTCACGCTCTAACATTTACACTAAATTACCAAGCTTCAAAGTGCACTGTATGCACCCAGACTGAAATGATGAAGCCATAGATCCTGAAAAAACCACCAGGATTCAATTTCACTGTGGAATTTTGTTTACATTGTGATTAATGGATGTGATTTGTTCGGTAAGCCAATCTAAATCTAATTTAGACTTTAATAGGGTCTTTCCCAATAATTGCACAATTGCGGCAACTCCAAATAAATGATACAATCAGCAAACGTCAAATTGTATTTACATTTCTGCCCTTATTACCATAGACAGCTATATTAATTGTGTTGGGTTTTCTCCATATTGTGACTCTTCGTTCTTGAGCAGACATGTTTTCACTGCAACGCTGATACATGAACATGTGCGTACAACTTTTTCTTTTACTTGAAGAACAAATTAAACTTTCACTAAAGTACAGGCACTCCTTCATCTGCAATTATTCCTATTTTCAACCTTTATGTATAGGGTGGACCATGACATTTCAGACTTACTCATGTAAGTGCAGTGGGTGTTATTGTACAAGAAAAGTGTCTCAGCTTCAAGCAAACTTAGTTACAAGTCTTGATCAAACTTTTGTGGCGCTTTTTGACAGTATAATATTTCTGATTGCTTTTCAGCACAAATACAAAATACTTTAAAAATAAGGGAATCAATCATAAGTTAATGTTATTACATTTAAAAATGTGTCATTGTATCCCTTTGGTCTCATGAAAATACATTTGGGTGGTTTTATTTGAGAAGTCAGCATCCTCTAGTGGGATATCACAGTATTACATAACCAAGAAACTGGGACGACAAATTATTAGCTCGAATATATTTAACTTAAGATCTACATCATCGAAAAGCCTCCTCTGTTGGTATCTGACATACAATTACCGTCTCTCTAAGATCTCTATGCACTAATTTTAATAACCAGTAAATACAAAAGAGTGATAACATGTGACAGATCCGTCATCGACAACACCAAACACACACTTCACTTATTTTTTTTTGAGTATTGTCCTCTTCCTTTCTTTCCCTTTATTATTATTATTTTTTTAAATCTATTTCTTTAGGCTAATTACAGTTCCGTTCTGTTTCTGTTTTGAGCTATGGATTTTGATATCGTTTAATGTTCTTTTTAACTACTATTATTCTTTCTATTGCTGTTCTAATATTTACCCTTTTAACTGAAAGTCTTTTTTAAACTGAAAACATAAAAAAGAAAAAAATACACCTGAATAATTACACTGACAAAATTAGTTGTACAAATGATATAAAGTAAATATATTTTATATATATATATATATATATATATATATATATATATACACACACACACACACATTTAAAGTAACGTCATATACGTTTTTGTTTTATTATTTGTATGGGACGCGTGGTTCAGTGTGCAAAATATGACCAGCAGGTGTCGCACAATATGAACAAATAAAAACTAGACCCTTAAATGGGGTTCAAGAAAATGTACAGAATGTAAATCGCTGCATTTATTTGTGCTATCAGTTAAAGTACTCATCATATGATGGCAGTATTTAACCACCTTAAAAATAAGCAATATTAAAGAACCATCGCTCTTTCCAAAGCCAAAGCCTCTTTTATATCGCACCGAGTTTGTGTGAGCATTCAGAACATCCAACTTTATGGATAGGATATTAAAATGTCTGTTAACGATGAAAAAGGTGGACTTAAATGGGAAAATTACCGAAATATATCTGACCTCACCACAGTGGCATGAACTTCCAAACACAATCAGCTTTTGAATGGCTGTTCCAGGAGATCAGCTGATCACAAATGGATGGTTTTCAGTTCTGACTCGAGAATTATACACATGTAATTAAAAAAGCTTATAGTACGAATACTACCGCAAAAATAATAATTATATTATTGTTGTTGTTTTTATATAACTGGTGATTTGATTCATTTTTATTAATAATACAATTAATAATAATTATTGGGGAATGTATGAAATCACTTTATTAATAATTTTATTTGTGTTTTTATTTGAAGGACTTTTACTGTGAAATGTGAACTTCCGCTGGGCGTCATAGATCACCGTTAGCATCACTGGCTTCACGCGGCTCAGGCATGGAATAAAGCGGCTGCTTATTACGACCGTAACATCCACGCTGGAGTCCTTAAATCAGTCCAATCTTCATTTCCCCGGATTTGCTCATTCTCTAGAAGACGCGTGTCTAGTCTCCGTTATACTGGACAATAACCCAGAAGATTTGCTGAGCTGAATATGAAATGTAGAGGAGCATCATTGTTTTAATCAGCTCGTGAAGTTGGACTCAGCCTGAAAAGAATCCAAAATTCAACAAATACGCATCAGATGCTGTGGGATCTCCTACCATTTCAACAATTCGCGATCAGATTTCGAAAATAACTGCCAGATTAGGATGTTTAGGATTTTTCTCAGTCGTTGACATTTACATTAATGCTGTTTCTGTCTAAAACCGTGTTGTTGGCCATTGTGTTCATGTAAAAGTGCTGCATTTGACAGATCAGCATTTAATAGCCTAACATCTTGTAGTTCTGTGCATTGCGAACATTGTCTTATTTGTTTGATATCTTTTTGGATAAACACTATACAGATCTGCCTGCATTGCACTTTACCCCAGATACATACGATTAAACCGCCATTGAAATAGTTCTGCAGCGTTTCCCTGGATTCAAACACCGGCAGGGATATATTAGTGTTTTAAATGCAAAACCTTCTTCAAGCAAAATGCGGTGGTTAGACTGTCACAGCCAGGCATGAATTATTTAAACCCCGCTTGCTTGTTAGTTACTAGGTTTCTTGCTGGACAAAAGTCTTGACATTTGCAGTTGGACCCAGTGTGAGTGTGACAGGAATCCAGGGGGGAGCTGGCTCTGCTCTCGACTCTTGTTTTTGATCCAACTAAATCTCCAGCTGTCAAGACATTCCGCTAACCTTTTCTTTTACACTATTAAAAGCGACAATGTCTTTACTGTGCCGTTCAAAACGCAGAAAAACAGCCGAGTAAGGACGATGCTGGCCATATTTGGACACGCCACGCTTCAGATATCACAAATGATCCGGGACTCCTGTGACAGGCATATCTAGATGTGTTTTATTTTATGAACTCGTAGCTGTCAGGAAGCATTTCGGTCGTTTTATAACACGTCTTCTCGTGGATATATCGACATACATCATGGGTGACGCTAATTTGAACGACTCCAACGTGAAGGTGGCGCTTCGGGTTCGGCCCATGAACCGGAGAGGTGAGTCGAGTTTCAGTTCTGTCACTTGATATCACAGTTCACATGCAGCCTGTATTTCAACACCCAGTCTAGTGCTTTCCTGGACGTTTGAGTCTTCCCTGTGGTCCTCAGAAGATGTCTAGTTAGTCAGCACACTAGGTTTTATGACACGGCTTTTTAATCTATCTATCTATCTAGAATGAGAAAGCTTTATTGCCAAGTATGTTTACATACACAAGGAATTCGTCTTGGTGAAAAAATATCTATCTATCTGTCTGTCTGTCTGTTAGAAAGCTTTATTGCCAAGTATGTTTACATACTCAAGGAATTCGTCTTGGTGAAAAAATATCTATCTATCTATCTGTCTATGAGAAAGCTTTATTGCCAAGTATGTTTACATACACTCTAAAAAATGCTGGGTTGTTTCAACCCAATGTTGGGTCAAATATGGACTAACCCAACTGTTGGGTTAAATTTTGGTTAAATTTTTTAATTAGCTTTTTAACCCAACAGTTGGGTTAGTCCATATTTGACCCAACATTGGGTTGAAACAACCCAGCATTTATTAGTGTACACAAGGAATTCGTCTTGGTGAACAAAATTATATCCATCCATCCATCTTAGACTTTATTTATATTTGGGTCAGGGGACGTGAACTTTTTAATTCAACTTTAGTATATTTGGCAAAGTTCATTAACAATACGACAAGTGTTTTTTTTTAAAAGTGCAAAATATGTATACATTATCAAACACATAGCATCTATAAAAGAATTGGTTGAGATACATTATAACATTACACAGCTTAAAGTTGTCAACTACCCGTTTCCTGGTTTTCTATGACCACATAAACTCTGTATATATGATACATGCAAGATTTTCTCTTTCTATCTATCTATCTATCTATCTATCTATCTATCTATCCAGAGGACACCCCATTAATGTCATATATACTGTTTAATTAAATTTCCCTTTTTCTATTCACCTTTTCTTTTTCTCCAAGATTATTTGCATGATTACTTGCATGTCTTTCACATGAACGCATGACATTAAAGCAGGTCTTGCCATGGGAGAACATGTGTCTTGGTAATGCCACCGAAGCGTGAAATATTTGCTACATTGTAGTGACGTGGTCACGTGTCCGACTGGAGCGTAACATTCGGTCACAAGACAGCCTGTGTGAGCTTTCTGAGTCACATATGCTTTAAAACACTTCCCAGTCTCCATTTGTAATGCTGGAATTCTGACATTCATTATTGTATTATTCCAGTTCCAAAGACCTTTCAGACGTTACTTCATATGACACAGAATTTGAATTTGAAAGTCTCTAAATGACACTTAACTTTCTGTTTTACTTGCGCTGTCTCTCTCTGTCTCTCTCTCTTTTTATTTTGGACAAAGGCAGGAAGGGAGTCTGAATGGACTATTTGCCAACGTTGCATAACCGAACATGTTCCCATGGCCAAAAATGTGTTTGGATTCCTCTAAGAAAAATGTCATATTAAATCCTCAGACTATGTAAAGATAATTTCACAAAACCTTTTTGGTGGATAAAGGGTTATAGAGGTTTAAATAGTTAATGATTTACCGGTTTAGTTGAATACACCAATTGCCTCATTCCCTTCTCGCATGGCCTGAAGAATGCAGTTACAGTTTCATGTAACTAACTGAACCGTGCATTGGTTAATAGTTTTACTTCCATAAACTTAGGCAAATAATTATAGAAATTAGCTTCAGGGCATTGTCACTGCCTTTTGTTCACTGTAGATAAATGGTCGCTTGGTCTTTGTGTTATTGTGTTCAGGATTCTGTCAATCTTTCCACTTCATCACTGTTGCCAAGATTACATGTGCTTATCGCTCTCTCCCGAATGACATAATGCAGGAAATTCAGATTTTTTTGACTGGCTAGCTGTGGTAAATCCAGATGGGTCTCCTTTTTGGACCTTGGCCACCAATGCTGGGAGGAAACCAGTTGTTTCCTGCTTTAACAGGAAGTTGTTACAGCTAGTGTGTCTTCAGATTGCATCCTTTCCAAGGATTTCTGAGTCAGCTGCAGATGCTTTCCACTTCCCTGTTGTTGTCAGTAGGAGAGTTTGTTGGTTTCAAACATGCTTTGGCCTGCTGTTGGATTGGGTGTGTTAGTGTTAGGCCGTTCCCTTTGTTTGTCAGCAGTCAGCAGTGCATCATAAATTTTCAGCTGACCAAACTGCAAAACTTTATTTGGGATCCATTTATTAGACCAGAAGCTGCTTTAGCAACAGGCTTGCTGCTGACATAGTGTTTGAAGGAATGCTGTTGCAGGTTCTTCCCGCTGTTGCTGTCAGAGTATAGGCTCTGGCCAAGCTGAGACCCGAGCCAATCCTAGGGTTCAACATTAAGGATGGCCCGATGGCATGTGGCCAGTGTGAGAGAGTTTCGTGCCAGTTCATGGCAGTGTCACTTGAACTATATAGCGAGTGCTGTGTTGTCACTGGATCTTGTGTTCATTGACCATGTTTCTGTGTTTTTATGTCTTGCAACCTAACCTAAACATTTTCTGTGAGTTAAAAAATGACTTTTATGGTTTTTAAGGCTTTAATGTTTAATTGCTTAATTTACTTCCCATCTCCAATATCTAAAATATTTTTTTGTGTACATTATTAAAATTTTTATTTATTATTTCTAAATATTATTTTCACGTATTTGTGCACATAAATATTGTTTGTTTATTTAAATAATTGTGTTTGCCAGCTATTCAGTTTGGTCCAATTTCTTTCCTAAATTCAATCAAATTATTCCAATGTGTTTAATTGAATAATGCAATGCAAACACAAAACCAAATCCACTGACGGTATATGCCACATTTTATCATCATCTGGTCAATTTTGCTAAATAATCCGAGACCGATCATTCACTATTCTTACTTATTACATGAGACATTCCAAATTAATACATAATTGGACATGAAATATTGATTTTTGCTTTAAATTATTTTCACAGAACTGTGGCATCTCATGACCTGCTGATGAGTTTATTGCACTTTCACACTGAAATCATTTAATTAAATTTTGGGAAAATATGGATTTGGAAATAGTTGGTTAGCAAAATAATTGATTAAAAGGGGTATTAATAAGATTGCCATATGGCATCTAGCATGTGTAGAATCATTGCTTTAGTTTCACAGATTTATTTGTTAATGTAGTTAACAACCTGTCAAGGGAGATTATAGCTTGATTGTCCTGAAATGGCCTTTAATATCCCATCTGAGGACGTGAGTCTGTAAAATTGGTTTTGCACTGAGCTCTTTCCATATCTGTGAGAATAATGATGGGTGATTTCAGGAACACTCTCTGTGTCAGAATGCTGGTTTGGTTTCAGTCCTCGATCAGCATCTCCTGCTGTGAAATAAACCCCTGGTATTGATTTTAGCCTTTTGTTCTGCATAATCAGGATAACTGGGAACTCAATAGGGGGGACAAACATATTTAGAGTAGCAGTTCCTTAGAATATATGCTTCATCTGATCAGTTTAGTGGCATTTTATCCGTTTTTTTTATATATTCCAACAGCTTGATTCTTTTTGAGGTGATGCAGCACAAAATAAATGGATAATGTATATTTTTTGGTTCTTAAATTGCCTCAATGTGTTTTTTTTCCCTACAGAAAAGGACCTGAATACAAAATGTGTTGTGGATATGGAGGGGAATCAAACATATCTGTACCCGGCAAACCTAGGAAAAGATTCCAGGTAAGTTAAATTGGAAAATCTGACATACTATATTAAAGGGGTCATATGTTGCTAAAAAGAACATTATTTTGTGTATTTGGTGTAATGAAATGTGTTTATGCGGTTTAAGGTTTAAAAAACACATTATTTCCCACATACTGTACATTATTGTTTCTCCTCTATGCCCCGCCTTTCTGAAAGGCGTCGATTTTTACAAAGCTCATCTGTCTGAAAAGCAAGGTGTGCTCTGATTGGCCAGCTATTCAGTGCGTTGTGATTGGCCGAATACCTCAAGCGTGTGACGGAAATGTTACGCCCCTTACCATATTGTGATGCCTTGTCCCGAACGGAGCAATGAGACAAAAACATTAAAACCCATTATAAACGATGCATTTGTTGCATCCAGTAGGGACATAATTATGGATTATAATGACTTATACTGTCTTTTTACGCTTTGTTGCATCACGCCGCGTAAACATAAAACCATGTCTGCATCTGCATGATCGGAGAAATGACAAACAACAAGCGCTACTTTACACTGCTCAAAACTCGCGTTTGAATCGCAATGAATATAAAAAAAACGTACTTACAGATTGTGAGTCAGAACAGCCGGCATTGTAGTCTACTCTACCAGGATCAGGAAACAGTCCTCCATAAAATGTGCTGCACACATCTGAATATTTGGGTTGAACTGTTCTGGAACAGTGTTTTAAATACAACTTAACCACTGATTTCTAGTCATGTCCTCTTTTGGAAGGCCAAACAAAGTAGTTTCGCTTTCACAACGAAACACACGGCGGGCTAGAGTGAGCGGAGGCCGGCTTGAGTGAGTGGCAGCGGGCGGGCTTGAGAACGGCGCGTATTCGACGTAGCGGCCGGTGGGCTTGCAGCAACCACATGTGACGACCCTGGGCTGGACTCCGCTTTTTCCACGGTGAAAGCCGATCTGATGATCCACAGCGCGAAGTTGATGTATTTCCTCAGCGACCAGCACGGATCAGCTCCAGGCATGACGAAGCGGATATCGTCCTCTTTTGGAAGGCCAAACAAAGTAGTTTCGCTTTCACAACGAAACACACAGCGCCTTCATGACATGGCGGTGGTGGCAGCAACCATACTACAGCAAGAATAAAAGTTACGCCTTCTTTCTTTGCGTGAACATTTGGGCGGCATTATGCAAATCTTCCTACATCGTGTTAGAACGAGCCGTTTTAGGTAGGTGTGGTTGACTCTTAACTTTTATAAAGAATATCTCTTTGGATTTGAGACTTTAGTCTTTGCAACTTTACAGATCTTCTTTATGCACCAAAAGCTTGTAACATTCCAAAGAGAAAGGAAAAATTGAAATCACATCATAAGACCGACCGCTTTAATACTTTTATTCAGCCAGGATGCATTCAACTCTCTACGGACAACTTGGCAATTGACTCGCCATTGGCTAGTAAATTTTTTAGTTTACTCGCCAGACTGATTTTACAAACATGATATTAGGGTTGTGATGGTGAGGAAATGTTCTCACCGGTTAATCGACGTGTGACAACACAGATAATACCGGTATCACCGTAGGGGCAGGGGCATTTCCTCTTTTCCTCGCTTTCCTTCGCTTTTAAATAGCTTAAAATTTTTGATTGACAATTGATTGAATGCAACAACAAAATACAATGTCAAACTCACTTTAGCCTATATATAAAACATAGAACTTTTATTAACAAAACAAATAAAAATACACCATGCTATAGGGCAGGCTATGCCTAATATAAAATAACAAATAACTTGCATAAAGTTTAAATAGGTAGCCTATACAAATGGAAATAAGTAAACGTGTATAATATATAACCAAATAAATAAGAAACGTAGAAAGTTTATTAGCCAAACGAATAAGAAAGATTGGAGGCACGGCATACACCTTGATGTCAAATAAAATAAATAAATTACACAAAGTTTAAATAATGTAAAAATAAGCAAACACTGTGGAACCAATTAAATAAGAAATTAATGTTTAAAAAAACTTCCAAAATCACCTTAGATAAACGGCAAAAGTCAACAGGCTTTTCAAAATCCAAAATACTGCCATAAAAATACTTTGCATTTCTTTTCGAAACTAAATCATTCGCGGTAGTCTTGTCTGTCTCACCCCCCTCTTCTTGTCAGTCAGCTCGACTCACTCTCCTCACTGGATACATGAAATCTGATCTGTGATGCGACGTTTGGCACGCTGCATTGAGCAGCCACGTTCAGTTTTTAATTGTAGTATCTGTTCTTTTACTGAACTAAATTATTTTTATTACTATAAAAAAATCAAAACAACGGTGGGGGTCGGTGACATAACCGGTGTTGCGGCTTGGCAATGGTATCACCGTCTATCGCGACAAGCCTACATTATATATATATATATATATATATGTATGTGTTTGTAAAATGGCACAGTTTTTCAAATATCTGAAAGTACACTCTTAACATCAGTCAGTCAAGCATTATAATATGATTATCAAGTATTATTTAATGTTAGAACTTTAGTAATTAGAATTAAAACTTGATAACCATGTATGAATGCATATTAGTCATTTTAACTGAATTTAGGACTGGTGGTGGTGCTTTTTTGGTCATTCAGTGTTTCTGTAAAATAATTGGGGGAAAAAATAACAAAAATACAAAGATAATAATGATACGAATTCTACTAAAAAGAACAATATAAAACGTAATAAGGATTAATGAGCTGCTGGATTCATGAATATTAATCAGGTTGTGTGCATTCACTTGAACTGATTTGCTGAAATCAAAACAGGGACGATATTAGGTGAGCGCCAGCCAATAAGATTGCCGTTTGCACTTTAGTTCCGCCTACTACCGGAGAACCCGGCAGTTCTTAAAAGCTGAAGAATTCCAAAGGAACGCTGTTATTTCGACAGGAAAATACAACAAAGAATGTTGTTTACATGTAGCGCGTCAACTCTCTCTCTCTCTCTCTCTCTCTCTCTCTCTCTCTCTCTGCGTGTGTGTGAGACAAAGCGATGATGAGTCGTGCGCCTTCACACTAGAGTTTACGGTACGTCAAATACAGGTACACTGCGCATCCATTCAGATGAACGGAAAAATATCTCATATCGGTTGACAGAGTGAAACTCTGAAGCGCTCAGTCAGTGTTCAGCGAGTGAAAATATATCTGTGCTAAACTTATACTTAGCCTCCAACTCACACACTGGCGAGTAAAATTTGAGAATTTATTGGCCATTTGCTAATATTAGACATCATTTAGTCACCCAGAGTGAAGATTTAGGCCCAATTCTATTTTATACCCCTTCCCCTTCCCCTACCCCTCCGCCTACCCCGTCCCCTTGTCCCTTGAAACAGAATGTCAAGGGGTAGGGGTGAAAATATTCCCCTAAGAATTGGGACACCACTACTATGCCGTCACACGTCATCATACGTCGTCTAGTTCCTACATTACACACACATACTGGTGTGCATTAGAGCTTTTAATTTCCGTTCTATATTACTGCGTTGCTTACTGACACACACACACATATATATAGATCGCGCAGCTCACACATCCAGGAGAAAAGAAACTTGTCAACGCTGCCCCATGACTTTTATTAATAACAGTTTAAATACTGAATTGCTACATTATATTTTCCAGCAACGAGATTTTTTTGCAAACATTTCTTTGAGTAACATGCCCATAATATGAACTCACGATTGAATGCAACATAAAACAAATGATTACTTTTCGTTAAAATCTTTATTAATGCCAAAAATGCTTACATTTATGTGTCTTTTTGTTCGCTCGGGCAGCCATGTTTCCCCTGAAGCCGGTTTACGCTGAGATAATTCATACCCCTTCGTTTGAAGTGTGGTCCCGAAAAATCTTCGTTTGAAGGGCTGTCTGGCCCTTCGCCTACCCCTACCCCTCCAACCAAAAGAGAATTGAGACACCCCTACCCCTCCGTTTCGCGCGTTCACGACAAAGGGGAAGGGGAAGGGCTAAGGGGTAGAATTGGGATTGGGCCTTAGTCTAGGGCTGTGACGGTGGCAGATTTTTACCACTGCGGTGGTAATGGACCAACTACCGCCGGTGGCACGGTGTTGAGATATATATATATATATATATATATATATATATAAATACACACACGCACAGGCGATTCTTTTTTTTCAGTTTAACGCGTTCAAAATATTTAACGCAGGGGTGGGGCTAGGGTTGGCCACCGCACTCACAACTGCTGCTTCTGTCACTTTTTCTCTCTACCCCTCCGTTTCGCGCGTTCACGACAAAGGGGAAGGGGAAGGGCTAAGGGGTAGAATTGGGATTGGGCCTTAGTCTAGGGCTGTGACGGTGGCAGATTTTTACCACTGCGGTGGTAATGGACCAACTACCGCCGGTGGCACGGTGTTGAGATATATATATATATATATATATATATATATATAAATACACACACGCACAGGCGATTCTTTTTTTTCAGTTTAACGCGTTCAAAATATTTAACGCAGGGGTGGGGCTAGGGTTGGCCACCGCACTCACAACTGCTGCTTCTGTCACTTTTTCTCTTGACAAGAAGTGCATTTATTAAGTCGCAGAACGACTGAGAACTGGACATGTTTCGCGGCGCGACAAAATACTATAAAACTCATTATAATCAGTGATGCTATACTGGATGCGACACGACATGACAAATCCCCGACAGTAAACTGCCTCGTTCTATTTATGAGGTACTGACACAGAGATCACATGTCCTGTGTAGACACTAGACAGACTCAACCTGTTGCAACGTGGCGGTGTCGCGTACGTGCACTACCGCCGGTGGCAGTAGACAAACCGTGGTGGCAAGCGATCCACTGCGGTGACGCGGTTGTCACGGCGACCGTCACAGCCCTAATTTAGTCGCATATGCAAGTGATTTACTCGCAATGTAGAGGGTTGGCATTAAAATGTCTGTTTCAAATAAATGCTGTTCCCTTGACATTTCTATTCATCAAAAAGTCCTGAAAAATTTATCGGTGTTTCAACAAAAATATTAAGC